GCTGATAAGTGGAACAGCCTTTTCCTACTCTTATCAGGTCGAATTTTATTATTAAGATAGCATTTAAGAGGTCAAATTTCATCCTGTTTCTTAGGTTAGATTTGATAAATTCACTCCAAATAAAAAACCTATAGAAAAACAGCTACAATCTAAACGTCAAAAACGGCATCTAAATACAAGAAAAAAATCTAAATCTGGATGTAAAACATCTAAAGTGGCAACACTGTTCTTCACATGTAGTTTTTTTTTTTTATACGTTTTTGTAAAAAAAAAAAAAAAAAACGTGACTCCTCCCCCAAAAAATGTCTAAAATGAGGCCTGTACTAACCATAAAGTCTCTAAAAAATGGGTCGCTACCAGTCACAAAATATCTAAAGCGTGGTCGGTACCAGCCATAATGTCTAAAATGGGACGGCACCTAGCATAAAATGTCTAAACCGGGGGCGGTACCAGCTACAAACTATAATCGTAGCGCTTAGAAATTATGTCTAAAATGGCACTGGTTCTGTGTACCGTTACGTACCGCCAGAAAATTATACTAACCTTGTCCCTTTTGGTTTTGTTGGCGACCTTTTAGAGACGCAAAATCTTGAGAACTTATTTTCGATTCCTGTTCCCTACTCATTAGTCACGTTTAACATTAAAAGCATAATACGGTGACAAAGATACTATGAATTCTTTCCTCATTTAGGGCTATCAGCAGGGGAGCTAGCAGAAACGGGACAATATTAGCTATCTGAACTCGAGTCTACACCTTTGTTACATTTGGCTATGCGTTTTTTTTTAACGAAGAACCTTTTAGATCGTCGCCGGAGTTATCAAGATCGTGCTATGTGCAAAGCTTCGACAGGCAGCTAGCTGTTCCGAAGAGAGAGAGAGAGAGAGAGAGAGAGAGAGAGAGAGAGAGAGAGAGAGACTGCGCCTTATGGGATAAACCCGGTTCAATGCAGTCGATCCTCTCACCTTCACTTTCTGCCTGCTCGCTTCCCCACTCATGTGAATTCCCTAAAGATAAAATTCAAAGTCTCTTTCTGCTGTAAACACTGTATGGAGATGTTTAACTTGCTGTCGTGGCTTCCTGTGGTAATATGAACTAATAAGAAGTAAGGATTACGATCACCTGAAGAAGAAAAAGTGTGAACAGAAGAAAGAAAAAGATAGGAAACAAAAATAAAAAGACATAAGGACAATAAGAAAATGAAGACATTTTATTGTTCTCAAATCGATGGTCATCAGCTACTATAAATGGCAAAAATAGTATAAACCACACAACTCGCACAGTTTCTGTCCTCTGTCTCTCTCTCTCTCTCTCTCCTTGTCTCTCTCTTTTTCTGTCTCTGTTTCTCTTTCTCTCTCTCTAACTCACCCCCGATCTTCTCTTTCTCACACACACACACACACACACACACACACACACACATACACACACACACACACACACACACACACACTCACTGTCCTTTTTCACTTGATTATTATGTCTCTGACCATAAAACACACACACAGACACATACACACTATGTTACAATAGGAATAAAAACGGGTACATAAAAACAGACCCTGTCATTAAGCAAACAGAAGACTACATGAAGACGTGAACACTGAAAGGAAGCCAAACCAGCGAAAACTGGCGTCCCAAACTTAAAAACAGGAAACTGAAACGGGCTTCTGAGCACAAGCGAATGACAAAACAGAGTGGCGAGATTTCAATGCGGAGTATAAGGTACAGTCACGCCACTCTGTACGTAGAGATACTGAACACTGCAAAGTTCGTTTGCTAATAAAACAGTAGAAGTAACAAACAGTGATTTTCTATTCAGTGACCAGCCGGGGAATAAACAGAGTGAAGAAGAAGAATAGAATAACATGGAGGAGGAGTAGAGAGAGAAAGGAGTAAAAGGAGAAGTTTGAGGAGAACGAGGAGAAGAAAGAGGAGGGGGAGGAGGAGGAGTAGGAGGATTAGAAAAAGAAGAAGAAGAAGAAGAAGAAGAAGAAGAAGAAGAAGAAGAAGAAGAAGAAGAAGAAGAAGAAGAAGAAGAAGAAGAAGAAGAAGAAGAAGAAGAAGAAGAAGAAGAAGAAGAAGAAGAAGAAGAAGGAGAAGAAGAAGAAGAAGCAGGAGGAGGATGAAAGAAAGAAGAAGAAGAAGAAGAAGAAGAAGAAGAAGAAGAAGAAGAAGAAGAAGAAGAAGAAGAAGAAGAAGAAGAAGAAGAAGAAGAAGAAGAAGAAGAAGAAGAAGAAGAAGAAGAAGAAGAAGAAGAAGAAGAAGAAGAAGAAGAACAAGAAGAAGAAGAAGAAGAAGAAGAAGAAGAAGAAGAAGAAGACAGAGGAGGAGGATGAGAGAAAGAAGAAGAAGAAGAAGAAAAAGAAGAAGAAGAAGAAGAAGAAGAAGAAGAAGAAGAAGAAGAAGAAGAAGAAGAAGAAGAAGAAGAAGAAGAAGAAGAAGAAGAAGAAGAAGAAGAAGAAGAAGAAGAAGAAGAAGAAGAAGAAAAAGAAGAAGAAGAAGAAGAAGAAGAAGAAGAAGAAGAAGAAGAAGAAGAAGAATCGCTGTAAACTCGAGCGGAAAGTTCTGGACTTTGGTCTCTTGTATGTTGTGTACACACCTGTTTTACAGATCCGACTTATCTGTACGCAGATTTTGTATTCCTTGCCCCTGAGTCAGATGCACTCCGACTTCAAAGGAAGTCCTCAGTCAGTCGACTATTACGACATGCTTGTTAGGAAAGCAGTGGGTCTATTCTGTTTTTCCCTACAATAGGGCTAGAACCTATACATGGATTTGCATTGAATAATACAGAAATTTACATGACACTTGCATGTTTATTATGTTTAAGGCATTTTGTTGTTGTTGTTGTAATAAACAGCTCCTGAGAAAAAAGTTACGATGCATTACTATCTTAACACCGCTCCCCCTCCCCCTTTTCCCCTTTTTAATATTGAAAACTTTAGGAAAACATGTCCGTATTGTTTGTGTTTTAAAAGAAACTTTATAGAGAATTCCTTTAACATTAGAGATTATCTACTGTATTACATAAACTGAGGAGGGGCTGGTCGGACTGTTAGAGCGGTAGGCTCTCAAGCGACAAACCTGGGTTCGAATCTTTGGTAAGGTTGGGGTTATTTTGTTATCTTTTAGGGGCGAAAAATCAAATCCTTCCCCACACTGTCGGTGGCGGCGGATCCAAAAACTCAGGGTCAAGGACCCTTTGCCGACACCTCAAAGATAAGTACCGTCAGTAATGGTGTTGTTACAAAATACAGTTTGTAACAAGTAAAGGACCTTTTTCCACGCGTTTTGGACATATAGGGCTAGACCTATATTTTACAGAACAGTCGTCATTTGGTGGGTGATGTGGTCAGCATCACACCGCCCGCATTTACTTCCCTGGATTGCACCTGGTACCTACTCAAGATCACGTTGGTTTCAATAACAGTTTCAATAACAGGAAGACGACAGTCCAGAAAGCAATGGCAAACCGTAAATTTGCCTAGAAAAACCACAACAGCTAAATAAAATGCTCAGGTTAGTTCTGCAATGTCCTGTAAAGGATACTCAACTAACTAACCCATTCAAGGGTGCGTCGTCCTGGTAGGCAAGGTCATTTATAAAAAAAATAGTCCGGCTCCATCAGGACCCAAACCCACGACCTTGCGATCCGAAGGCGAGCGTCTATCCGCTGCACCACGGCGACTCCCGAATACAACTGATAAACATTTATAAATGGAGAAACTTGTGACACAGATCCGAGACGCTTTCTGACACGTTGAGAGGATTAATTTAAATTGTTACACTTGATCAGTCGAGTCTCCTAATCAAAGAAAGCCTTGTATTCATTAAGGATTTGAATCGATTCTCGGATTTGTATGGCAAAAAATGAGTCGTTACAGAAATTGATGACAACTGGTCGCCGATGCAAAGGAGGAGTTTCAATACGTAGGAAGTTGATTCCATTTTTTTTTAAAGATTTGAAGAAAAGCTGAATTCATTCACAGCTAACAGAATCTTTTAATCACAGAGATTTTTAGTTTAGATTCTCAGATTAACTCTGTTAATAAAACATTGATCCATGAGAGCTTTCTGTAATTAACCGTTATACTTGAATTTTGGCAACTGTCAGTATATATATATATATATATATTGGAAGTCGCTACATGTGACCGCTCATTCTGGCTCTCCTCTCTTCATCGACGAGCTGTGGCCCATGAAGCTGCTAGAACTGCAGCAGCAATTCAGAAAAGACGGTCAGGAAAGACACCGAAGCAAATCACCAGAAAGATGCAGCTTCTATTCCCTGTCCACATTGCTCAAGAACATTATGTGGCCTTATCAGCCATCTTTACACTCACAAAACCTAACCCAGACACATGTGGATGAAAGGACTGGTCATACTCACTGATGGGCGAACAAACACAACATATATTGGGCAAATGCTGGGGAGGGGAGAATAGAGGGAAAGGCAGGGGGGAGCATGTGATTAAACCTATGTGTCCGTGTTTGTATTTGTTCTACTGCAAAAATTACTATTGTATTTTGAAATCCATAATCTGTTAAATCACAATTGATAACTGGCACCGTGAGAGCTAATAGTTTGAAATGGCTGGGGCACATTGAGAGAATGCCAGATGAAAGAGAGGTGAAAACTGTCTACACAAGGGAGAGGAATGATCCTAGACCACGAGGCAGAACAAGAAGACGATGGAGAGATAATGTCCAGAGAGACCCAAAACACTTGGTGTTACCAACCGGAAAGAAAAGGCCAACCAGAGAGATGAATGATAGCGGGTGATATCTTCAGCAATGAACACTGAGGGCTTGAAAATCTGAATAATAATAATAATAATAATAATAATAATAATAATAATAATAATAATAATAAGTGTGTGTGTGTGTGTGTGTGTGTGTGTGTGTGTGTGTGCGCGTGTGTAAATTACACAGCTGACTAAATGTAATTTTTTGCTTTTCTGGTCTCCCATGACTCAAACGTCAGTGCAAATGACTGAACATAAAATTGCCTCGTTGAACCACACAGCAGAAAATAAGTTCTGGCGCTGGGGTGCGGTTATCTGGAAAGAATGTACAACTAATGTCTTCTACATGGTTCTGTTGAACAATGAACTATACCATAGGTTTGAAAGTTACATGCTTTTTCTTCTGCTCAGTTCGCCCTTGAGGCTCAGTACATGCGACAAACTGTGAGCAGTGTTACTTTATTCTTTTATACCACGGTCCGCTCGTCTCTCTAACTTAGATGGTTAAAACCCTCTTTGTGGCGACGACTGGGTGACGAACTCTGTGTGGTCCGGGTCAGAGGTAGGCGGAAAATCCCAATTTCTCCCAGATTTACTGTTTCTATCATGGAATCAAGGCAGAAGGGTTGCGATATCCACAATACCGAGCCAAAGGGTTTACAACTCAGTTTCTGGATATGTAAAAAAAAAAAAAAAATAATACCAGGGTTCTTGTTTTTATGTAATCGAGTTTTGTTGAAAAGCTATTTGTAGGGTTTGTATCTCTCCCTAATCAAGTGTCTAAATGTGTCTAAATGGTTGATGACTGATTGTGCCTCACTCGTAAATGAATGTTGCCCCCAAGCCAACCTCCTGGCGACTAATGGGGTTTACTACCTGGAAGTACTAGGTTAACACAGGTTTAATAGTCCTCTCATACCAGTAACACCGACAACATTCCGCAGTCAACCACATCAACAAAACGGGAAGAGTCATTTATGTGCTCGTGCTTCAGCCTGTTTGACGATGAGCATGAACTGGTGATACAGGACGACTGTCCATCTAAATCCCCACCTATACACTATAATTATTCTACCTAGGCGGTGTCAAACGAAAGAGAACACCTCACCTCGACTCGGCGTGAGTCCACAAATACTCTTTCGGTCAACGGCCCCGCTATTGGGGTCACACATAACCTTCTCATAAACTACTCTCTTGTTTCCCTGGTGATCTTCCTACGCCTCCTCGCTTCGTCACCCAAGACAGATACTCCTCCTCGGATAAGTGGCCTCCCCTCGGGTCCCCATAACCGATACATGATAACTAATCAGATACTCAGCCACAAGCAACAAGTCTCTCGACACACAGTCGAATCAGCATCATCGCGAGGCACTACACAATTGCCGTCCTCGCAATTGCGCTACAATTCATCGCTCGATTTCTGTCGGCCTTTTGGTAAATAACATGTTGGGCCCTCCACACCTTGTCTCCACAAAATCCGCACAACGGGAGCAGTTCGACTCATACACCACAGTTCTAATGTACCAGGGTGTGTGTTCTGGGGAAGTAAAGACGGCCGGTGTAATGCTGACCACATTACCCACCTAGTGTCGATTGTTAGGTAAAAATAGGGGTGCGCTTCCTATACGCCCGATGTGCCTAAAGGCATGAAAAGGAATCTTTACTTTTACTACTGAAACTAACAAATAGAGAAATAATTCATCCGAGATATTTCAAGAAATGAAGAAGTGCCACCTGGACATTTTTGGATTAAGTGAGTTAAGGTTTTCACACCGTTCCAGAGGCCTCTTCCTGCCCTGACGTGGAGACAAGACAAAGAAGAATTTAAAGAACCTTTTTTTTTTGTGTGTGTGGTACCGACACGTGACAAATAAATATATTCTTCACACACTCAAACCAAACACCTACAGAGCACACAACAATTTTTAATGGGAAAAGCATACAACAGTACGCATTTGACCTCAGAACTCGTGAGTATCCCTATCCGAAACCAAGGTCGTGAGGGCTTTGCAAATCACCCCTCACTCCCATCACGTACACTTATGAAGATTCGCTACTATCATTGCCTTTATCACATAGCTGCACTAGACTCTGATAAAGAAAAGGGTGGCCTACTGCAGATATAACAGTGAAACCTTGAGGCGACGCTCTTTTAATAAGTGGTGCACTGGATTCAATCCCTAATATAAAATGCATTGCATAGAATAGAACGGAATGGAAGACCAGACTGTAAGCCCCATATGACGTATAACGGCACAATAGGATGATGACAACAATTATTATGATGCCGCCAGAAATGTAGACAGATAAACAGACAGACACGTGTACTTAAAGATGTAAACATTAGGTTGATTCATAGAAACAGAACCAAGAAAATGTGTCAGTGTTTGTAAAGGTTAATATGGCAGCTTTCTGGGGTAAACAAATAGCAGCCATTGAATTGTTTTTATTATTTACAGCTATCTCAACACGAGAGCACACGTATGCGTATTCACCTCATTTCCATTGCAGGAAGAGTTCCTTAACGACAGAGATAAAACATTATATATATATATATATATATATATATATATATATATATATATATATATATATATATATTGATTCCTGCCATAAATAACACTGCACCCGGGCCCGACGTGGTTAGATATTCCCACATGAAAGACCTGTTGGAGATAACTGCTTGCTTTAACCAGAGCATTAGAACAGCTCCAGTCCCATAAGAGTCGATGCACAGCTAGCTTATTCCATTTCCTTAGCCTGGCAAGAATCATTTAACACTCGGCGGCTTTAGGATTAGAACCCTACAAAACACCTTTGTTAAGGTGCTGGAGAAGATAGTGGCGGGTAAGCTACAAGAATTTTAGGAACAGAGAAATCTCCTTCCACGAGGATTGGGAAGTTACTGGCCGGGGAAGGACAGTGACCTTCGGTAGTGGACTTTCGAAGGCTACGGAAGGACACATGATCACACGCAGCCACCTTTGCCTTTGAAACCTTCGAAGGTTTTCAGAACAGGCAGGAAACGGTGTCAGCGGCACTCGATTTAGAAAACGCTTACAACAGAGTCAGATACCGTTTCTTGGTGAAAGCACTTATGGAGTAGGGAGTCTGTCCTTGGTTGGTGAACTGGATAGGATCCGTTTTGTATACTCGCTGGGTAGTTCTCAGCCTGGGTTCATGCACCGCTGAACCATGTATTATAACTCCAAGACTTCTTCTTCTTCTTTACTTCCTCTTTTACCGCTGTGGGTGTCGAGGGAGATATAAGGTTCTGTTTCTAGCTCTTCTGGCTGCCTCGACCATAGGCACATCGTGCTGTTGTAGAGTTTCTCTGATGTTATCCTTCCAGCTTGTTCTTGGTCTACCCCGTGCTCTACGTCCTTCTTCTCTTTCCATGTATGCTTTGTATGGTATGGTGTCACAAGGCATTCTCTCTTAAGTGGGCAAACCATTTCACTTGCTGTCTTTGTTTGTAATCCAGAATTGGTTCTGTGCCGACTTGTTCTCTTATGATCTCATTCCTGATCTTATCTCTTATGGTCACTCCTACAGCCCTTCTCAGACATCTCATTTCCGTGGTTATTATTTTCTTTTATGGTTTGTTGTGAGTGACCATGTCTGGCACTGGTAGCACAGAGTTGGAATAAATATGCTTTGAATAAGATGTCTCTTTGTGCTGATTGGGATTGTCTTATGCTGTAGGAGGGGGACTAGCTGTCCCAAGATTGCCACAGGGATATGCCAGTTTAGGTATACTGTTCAATGTTTTTATGAGCAAGATTGCCTAACTGGAAACACTTGCAGTTGGCAGAATATTGACGTTTGCAGATTATGTTCTCGTTTATAGGAAGGGGAGAGACTGAAATCAAACATCCGAAGTGGTGTACAGAGATAAGTGCTGTAATCAACCCAGAAAAGACAGCCGTCCTGTGGTGTTTTTTAGACAATAGGATTGTTAGAGCTGATGTTCCCAGACTAAAAAAAAAAAAAAAAATGACAGGGACATAAAAAGAGACAGCAGACTGCGGTACCTGGGAATCACCTTTAAGTAAAGTTTTTCTTTCAAGGATCACATAGAGCGAGCTGTATTAATTTCGTAACTTCTGCGTATAAAATATACGCATGAACGTTGCTAAATATGCTAACCAGACAGACAGCGTACTACCGCAGCCCACAAAAACAGTTACCGATTACTTGGTAACCGAAGACTCTCTTGAAACTGTGTTTAAGGGTTCTGCGGTGTGTCTATGTTCTACTCTTGTTGGATTCCCATAAGAACAGCGGCTCTTTGAGTCACTATGGTATTAATCCCCGGAAAGAAATCATTGAGGGAAAACAGTTTAAAAAATTAAAAAATATGATGTCACTAAACGTACATTCTCATCACCCCCCCCCCCCACCCCAATCCCATCCACCCCTCTACCTTAAATTAACCCCCCCAAAAATACGATAAATCAAATACTGAGATTTGTAAATTGCAGTTCTATTTCGGCGAATCTATACGAATAAAACCGCAATTTGAATAAAATATCATTTGCTTTGGATTGCAGAGACATGTCTGTTACAGGTTTGAGCATTTGCACGGATGCAGTATTGAAATGCTGATTGAGTCTGTCAATAGAGATACAGAAGACTGGAATGGGCCGTGTTTTAAAATCCTGTCGAAACGGGATTGACTGCTATCGTGTCGACGCCAGAAATGAATGGACCGTAAAATAGGATCAGGAAACTTGGCGATCAAGAAATATACACACACATAACGCCCATTCCGACCAGTGAATGTTGTCAATGAACAGAAGAAAAAGAGCAACAGACAAACAATAGTTGAAAATTTCTAAAAATTGCAGAATATCGCTATGAAAACAAAATTATTCTAATCAACAAAATGTTATCGACCATCACAGACAAATATTTTAACCGAAAACAGAACGAAAACATTGAAACGAAACTTTAAAAAAAAAAAAAAAAAAGAAAGTGAAAACAGTCTGTGGGTATTATATAGGACCAGTTACACCGAAAGTGATCTTTATTGTGAACTGTAGATTAAAAATATTCTGACTGGCGTGTTGCTACAGATCTAGTGGAGTCTTATTCAGTTTTGCTTGTGTAACTGCTAATTTACCGCAAGTGCTGCTTTCTCTGACTAAGATATGCAGCTCTAATAGCGGATTTTGTGCGTTGGAATTTGTACAGGTTGTCATGCAAACAAGGCGTGTGTTTCCTACTGGCTTTCCGAGACTACAGTCTGTTTTAGATTTTTTTTTCACAAGGGTCAACAATGGACATACTGTGTGGTTGCACACACAGGTAATAGGACGAATAAAGTAAGTAATCTTGCATAATACTCCTTGCTCCATGTAACAGGTACGAGATGTTGATGGGTCGGCTCATCCAAGTAAAAACTATTCGTGTAGTCGCCAGAACAAACCTGTAAAGCAGTTACAGACATGCACCTTCCAGAAATACAGCTGTCAGAATAAAGGAGTTTTGACAAAATGTTTAAACTTACGTAATAATTAATAATTTAGTTAACAGTATTTCAACAGCAATGGTATTTGTGTCACGTGTAAAAAGGCAAAACACGAATTAGCATCGTGAGAATAAATAAGAATGTAGGTACGGTTAGACCACCCATCAGAAAGCAAACACCTAAAAAACAGCAATTTGTGGTTTGAATTTGAAACTAGTCTCATTCTTTCCGTTCACCAGCCGTAAACTCCGGCGGAAAGTTCTGGTTATTCGTCCACTTCTGGATTGTAGTTCTGCTCCAGAAAATAATTGTTCTGTGACTTTGATAGTTTATCTGATCGCATTAACTTTGTTTAGAACCACTATAAAGAACACAGGCATATTTTTAAAAATAAGTGGTTCTTGGGCGCTACTTAGCAACGCTCTTGTGGGGGATCAGCCTATATACAGGACAGTGGAAAGATAAAACACATACAACACCTGAGACATCGAACACAACACATGTACATGTTTAGTTTGTATTATCAGGAAAAGGTAGGCAGATGGGTAATTGTTATAATTCAGGATTGTATAATGTAAGACTAACATCTCAAAGGATAAGAATTACACCGGTACAAATCCTGGAACTCCATTCGATCGAACAACAGTTAGACTGGATTGCAAAGGGAGGGGTGGGGGGTTGTTAAGGCAGTTATAGTAAGCTAAAATCAAGAACCGATTTTATTGTCTGCACGTCAAAATGCTTCCAAAGCGTCGATGGCGTTTTATACTGGGATTTCTACACGTAGAATGTAATCATTCAGGTGTTAATCAGCGGACTCAATCCTTAAAGGACAAACTTGCATCTGCAGGCCGGGATGTGATACTTGTGTAGTCTAAGTTGAAGAACAGTGGTTGTAGTTTGTGTAGATGTTACCAAAACAAAAATAAGTTTCACTTGTGTGCAAGAGCATGAGAATGTAACTCGAAACAAGGAAGTTGATTTGCCTGCTGGCAGGGCTACCAGTAAAAGGATAGGCGCAGTTAAATGGATTCTTTTCTTTTTCTTCTTCCCCTCCCCCCCCCCCCTTTTTTTTTCTTCTTTTTATTCTTATTCTGATGCTTCTGCTTCTTTCAATCCTTTGAAACAGATAGATTATCAGTATCTGCGATGTTTCTCAAATATCAACTTCACTGTCTTTTTTTAAATCACTCAGCGACACGTAAAGTTTGGCATGCTCCAGTGTTTATCTCGGCCAGAAGTTTTGTCTTGATATGTTGTAAGTGGGACACTCTTATAGGACGTGATATGTTGTGTCAGGTGCCAATGTACATGTGCATATGGCTTATTCACCAATCTTAAATTGTGTGTAAAGGTGGCTGCAAAGTCGGTTATGTATTGTTCTAGGGCGTAGCAAAACGACTTTCTCAGAAAATTGGTTTATATTAAGCATGGGTTTACAGAGAGACATGACGATTACTTCAACCAAATAACGACTGACTTTGCAAAATTGACTAGACAGCAAGATCGGTAAGTAATAAAAGGCGATGCAATGACAAGAGTTTTTATGCCGAAAGCCTAAGAAAAGAGTTAAATGTAACTTAGTGCTGGTGTTTCCAGCAGCCAGAAGCTGAAAATATATACCGAAGAGGGGATCTGCGCATTTATGGAATTAAAAATGTACAATCAGTCGACTGTTTTTTTTTTTTGTTTTTTTTTAATATTTTCTTTGAGCTAAGAGAAGAAACAAATAGGTTGTTTCATTTACAGTGGACGCATTACTTTATATAACATATATGTAAAAGAAGAAAGTAGACGAAGCTGATTTTAGCTATAAACTGTTCATTTATTTTCTTTACTTTTTAGTCAAATGTTACTGCAGTTTACACTGGAGGACATTAGCTTCATCAGCCAGAAGGTCCTTTTCAGAACATCACACTCATTACGACATAATTGAAAGTCTCTCTTACTCTAGCCATTTCTCAAACCACATACGTCTGCATCTTCAGTGTCTTGTATCACGTCCGGCTGCATATATAGTCCTGACAACTGAATCCCGGTACAGTTTGGAGGAGTCCCCCTCGAAAATAGGTTACTGAGAGCGTTTCTATGTTGCATTGTGTGACATATTAATATGCTTACAAAGTCCTGTGTTCTAAACGTATTCGTATTACAAATATACAAATGGATATTGTGAAGTGGATATACAGCAATTTTAATTTTAATTTTGATTCACGGAAGACAGTCTCGTTGTGATGTGTGTGTGTCAGTGTCACTGTTTCTAGTCAGTAGTTCGGATTTTCGGGAACTGGCTGTTTATTACTTTTCTACTTTAAATGTAGAAATCTTACTTTTAGGGATAATACAAACAGGTAATTTAGAAACCATATCTGGAGAATATCGACAGTTGTCAGGTGCAAACTATCTTGTGTTTGAAGAAAACTATTGCTTTCATATTGACTCTGCATAAATGGTGCAACCACACTGTGGATAAATTGTGTCAAGATATTTTGGAGCTCTAGGTAAGTTGATGAAAAAAATATTTAATTTACTAACTAACCTCTCACAGCAAGTCACTCTTTGCCTCTTTACTAATTGTTGACTAACAGTATAATTATATGTTGTAGCAGTACACTAATAATATTAATCCTTAACCATTTGAATTATGCTTCGCGAACACTGGCTGTAAACTCTTGCAAAAACTTCAGGTAGTTCATCCACTTCTTTTGCATATTTGCAGTTCTACGGTCTGCGTTAATTTGTGTAAACTGGCTTTTACTTTGCTTCAAGAACACTGGCTGTAAACTCTTGCGGAAACTTCTAATTGCTCATCGACTTCTTTTGCATATTTGCAGTTTTACGGCCTGTGTTAATTTTTGTAAACTGGCTTTTGCTTTGCTTCGCGAACACTGGCTGTAAACTCTTGTGGAAACTTCTGGTTGCTCATCGACTTCTTTTGCATATTTGCAGTTGTACGGCCTGTGTTAATTTTTGTAAACTGACTTTTGCTTTGCTTAGCGAACACTGGCTGTAAACTCTTGTGGAAACTTCTGGTTGTTCATCCACTTCCTATGCATATTTGTTACCAAAAAATTCGCAATGGTAAGGAATTGATTTCATCCAACAAGATGAAACTGGAAAAATTGGTTTGTGCTGTTTGTACCTTGAGGATACATATTTAGTAGTGCTATAAGTACTGTTAAGAAAACTACTCTGGGTGAAAAAAAGTATTGCACATATCAATTTCATACTGATTGTGCTTGTTTACTAATTATTAAAAAACAGTATAATTAAATGTTGTAGTAGTCTACTAATAATAATAATAACCATCAATTATTATATATTTATGTTATGTATGATATGTGTATGTTTCATAGCAGTATTTTTATGCGCTAAATTTGATAAAGTACAAATGTCACCCCTTCACTCACTCCCCCCCCCCCCCCCCCCCCCCCCCCCCCCGCTTCTCTGATGCAACAATACCCTCTCAGAATCAAAGAGTTAGCACTGATATTTCTTTGCTTTTTCTGGAACAACTTTTAGTTTACATCTAAACGTTATTGATGTTTATGTTCATGTTGACTGTAGCAAAATCATTTTTGTTTGTCTGTAAGAGCCTTCATTGTTATATTTATTCGGCACACTTATTTACCTTAAAAATGACGTATAGTTCTAAAAATATGTCGAAAAATAATGAAACTGTATTTTAATTTGCGTATACATCTCCTCGATAAAAACTGTGGACGCAGAGGGACTCAATTCTCGCACAAGAACGGGAATTCCCGTTCGAGCTGTACGGCCTTATAAATCTAGAGCTGGCCGTGCTTGTATCCACCGTTGCGGAGGTAGGCTTTTGCCTCGTTCTCAGAAATCTGCACCAACACCGTTCCCTCCAAGCCACCATCTTCTGGGTAGACATTGCGAAATATACCAAGCAACCAATTGTACTATTATTTGCGTCTTTTTTT